GGGGAAAGAAAACTCTTCTGTTATCTATTCCCAGAACATGTCCATTCTTCCTCGATGACAATCACTATGTGTGCGCATTCCTCTCTCTGCTAAACAATTCATCCCAAAGGCTGCAGTGAAGATCACGCTCAGTCACACTGTGGCCCTCCTCTTCTATCGGCTTCTGAGCTGAGTGCAGCATGGCTTCATTCTCTTCGCACCCTTCGCCCTCATCTCTTACACCTCTAAGTCAAGGCGACTGAGCTCGAATGTTCTGCTTTTCCTCATCTTTGCCCACGTTGTCTTCAGTTTCCTAGAGCCACCTCCTCACTTTCATCTCATACATGAATTTTTCTTAATCAAAAATATGATTTCCTAACAACACTATCCTGCCTAAATAAAAACAAGTCATCCTTACTAGCTACTCAAATTCATTAATCTACATAAAATGCCTCTTTAAAACTTTGTATTGGAAAAAAAGTAAAAAAGAGAACACATAAACATCTAAGTATTTATATTCATGATCTTCCCCGTAAATCTCACAATAAAAATGACTTCATATGTAAATAAAACTTTACCCATAATAAAATATTTATTTTAGAGGATAAAAGGAAATATTAATCTTACATGTTAATTGTAAAAATCATGTTTAATTATAGGAAAACAGCAAGTCATTTGTTCCAGCTTTTTAACAATCATTTAATCATGCAACATCATGATGTACTCTAGCACAATGCTGAAATGTTACCTAAGATGAAGTTGCTTCTACTAAGTTTACAGAATATATATTTGGGAACAGTTATTAAAAATAATTGCTCTAAAGGAACTCTAGATGTATTATTTTAGAAATAATATTCTAAAATACAGCAGTAAGCAACAGAAACTATTGCTCTTTATACATTTTTTGGCATAACACTGCCATACAGTTACAGAATTACAAAGTAAGTATTTTATAGTACCAGACAGATCCAGAAACTGGTTACAACTCCTACCACATACACATGGTATTGGTACCTCAAACACGCACAGCATTCGGTGACTCATACTGCAGATGGATACAGAGCACAGAGAGGGCAGGTGGCCACTAGAGAGTTAGAGCTCAGTGACAAGCAAAACACACCTCATAACATCCATACCCACTTCCCTGAAATATCTGAAATACAAAAACCTCAATAGTTTCCAACTTGAAATAGTGAGTAGACTCGGTTGATTTATTTTCTTAGGTAATGTAAAAGATAAGCCAATATCTTACTTAGGAACCAAGTAAAAGCCCTTTTTTATGAAAAGGAAAAAAATAAGCTTGTCAAAGGAACTATCACTCGCGCTCACTTGTTTCTCTTAATCACAGTGCCACACAATTACTTTGCTGCCAACTCTTCAGCGTGGGAGAAGATGCTTCTTCCATTATCCATTTATCACTGAGTCCCCTGCAGCAGCCAGTTCCTCAATTTAACTTATTAATAAAACCCCGACTGTCAGTACACAGAGACAAAGCAATTAAACGTGGCATTTGGTCATTCGGCCACTTCCATCAACCCAGTGGAAGGTTTCAGCATGGGACAGCCAGAATTCATGGCTCAAATGAGACTATAACTGGATCTGTTTCCACCCCATCCTGATCTCCTGGGCACAAATAGCTTAGAGCCAGTCTTGAAAGCACACCCCTATCTCAGAATGAATCTAGACCATTCTTAATCTGCTTCCAACACTTCTGGCACCTGCACAAACTTGTAATTGGTTATGTCTTATTTCTGTGGTTCCTTGTTACTGTTGTCAATCTTTTGTCTCCTTTGTTTTCTTCTTCTTCACATGAAAGTAAATCTACTAGCACTGAAAAAAAAAAAAAAAGCTCCTTTGACAATAAGTGCAGAACTTGAACACTGCTTAGTTCCGAAGCTTACAATATAATTAATCTCTCTAGTTATCACAAACTTTCCCACAAACACTTTTATGGTTTAAAAATGAAAATATGATAACCCTCCATCATTTAAATATTTTCTATAAGGTATTCTGATTTAGAAAAAAAGGTATTTCAGGATAATAACTGAACATTAATGCTTTTTCTCTGAATTACTTTATAAAGAAGTTTTGCACACATACCTACAGAAGAACAACCCAACAGAAATTCTGATTATAGAACTGGGGCAAGGAGTGGTATATTTATATGTTTCCCAAGATAGTTACGGAGAGCTATAATTTATATAGCAGATGCCCAACTGCTCACAATTTTCTAAGCAACTATAAAATGATGGCAAATAATTTACTGCAGGTATTTAGTGTAAAGTGATACAAATTCAAATTTTTTATGTAGCCCAGAAGTCACAAATCATAGGTGGCAAGGCCATCACGATCCAGAAGTTCTGAGGACCCATCATACCAATGAGAAGGGAACACCCCTGGGCTGGCTCCACCCTGAGATGCCCACTTGGCTTCCTAGTCACCTTTCCAACTCTGCATTCTATTTCCAGCCAGAGTTTGGGCCATAACACAAGCACTTCATAAGGTCCCCCACATGAAACTTTAATTTGAGAAAACAAACATATTAAGAAATTATTTTCCATAAACAACTGAAATAATAAACTTTATAACAGAACAGGAAAATGTACATGACAAAAAATTCTTTCTCTAATTTAGGACAAAAGCAAAAGAAGGCTTTTTAAATGTTTCTAGTAAGATTATAGCATAAAAGTTTTTCAAATCAATTTCAGATTCCTCCAAATGTCTACTAGAATTAAAATTGTAACAATTTCTCTAATATAATTCCATTTTCTGCATCCATCTGCATCTAGAAACAGGAAGCAAAGTATAGGTAAATATTACTTGTAGTAACTAAGGAAGGTTTAGAGTGAAATTTATAGCCTGTAGCAAAATTGAAGACAAAGCATAAATAGATACAGCAAACAACACAGGTGAATCTTTCTTACTCTAAATGTTTTTGTCAAATATAACACATTGTTCAATATTATGGTGCATCTACTCTTTTATGAACTAATGCTCTTGTCCTAAATGAAAATGTGTCCAAAATGATAAAGCACCAAAGTAAATGACATTAAAATAACTGATGTTCATGGTTCGGAAAGTTCCTCATGACAAGATTTTACAATGGAGTAAAACTGTAAACTTCTGAATGAAAACCATTTACATTCATTAAGGCACATCTGGATACCTACAGGCATTTGTATTTATAACTATATTAATTTCAGTAATAAGAGATTTCTAAAAACAGTCTGTCTCTGAACACAGGCTGCTGGGTGGGTTGGATAAACTAGAACAAAGGAGGAAGCAGGGTAGTACTCACTGTCACCGTAGAGATTACCCACACAAATCTGTTGCTGAAATAAACAGTACAGAGCTCAATGCTGAAAGTCAGTAGACGTACACAGCTAATTTCCCGGTACAACATTGATTCAGGCTCCTTTCCTTACAACTGTACCTAGATTTGAATGATTCCAGCATGTCTAATTCCAGCCTGCTTTATACTTAACACATATATCCCAAAAGAGAATTTTCTAAGTGGAAAAACAAAATAGAATCTTCAAAAACACTCACCTCAAGTAGACTCTAAACATCTATAGATATAATTACAATTAAGAAAAATAAAAAAATCCTTTCTTTTCTCAGGTCACAAAATACTGATTTTTATGAGAGCCTCAGGCATAGTTTTAAAAAATGCTTGACTTCTGCAGTGCATTATAAACTCAGCTATAATTCTATCATACACTTGGGAAGTTAAACATTAAAACAATTAGCCAAATATTCGCTGTCATTTTAAACAACTTTTGACCATTTGTTCTGGAGGTTTATTTACCAAAGTTATTTTTTTTAAACTAACTCATATGTAGGTAGCACTGTACTATTTTTCCCTTTTTACCAGATCATACATTTCACTCAGCTTAAATTATAAAAGGTAGGAGAGTAGGTAATTTTAGATGACAAAATATGAAAAGTGTAATGAATATGACAGATTTTATGGTTATGTTTATAACTGAATACTTAGCAAAAAGTCTTAGAACTTTCCTAGTAACTCCTGAGTTATCGATTTTTATCTCCTTAAAGCTGAAAAAAAGGTAGTCTCAATACCTAAAACAAGATAAAACTACACAATATAATTTTTTAATTAACAACTAGCCTTGATTTAGAGAAAGTAGATATTTCTCTTCTGTCATGATTGTTTTGAATTTCTTATGAGATTGAGATGAAAATGTATGTCATAATAATCTTTACAGAAATATATCTTATAGCTATATGTCATCACTTTACAGTATTTTAAAATATTTTCACGTTATCTCCACTGATATATGAAAGCACAAAATATTAGAAATGCACTAGACTCATTAAGCAATATGACATCCATTTGCCATGAATGCAAGCTGCTATGTTATCAATAGTCAATATTTAGTATCCTTGAAACCCATGGTACAACAATAAAGACTATATATTATATATTTGCAAGTGCTCAATGTTTCTAGCAATTTGGCCATGCTTCATTGCATTTTCTGTTAGCAGCTTCTCAATTATTTCTGCAAGCATATGGTAGTTTTAAAAATACAAAACATAGGAGTCAAACCTGGAGGGCAGTTTCATATCTAAGACACTCATAAACATATATCTATAGCTCTTATTTAAAAAAAACTATTAAATGTACAAAGTACTCAACAGAAAAAATTCTAGACACTCAATTTTTATCTGCAAAAGGAATGATATCCTCTTAACTTGTTCTGCACTAAATTATTCTCTCATTAGTTATTTACAGAGTAAATGTAGGAGACATACTGCCACATGTGAATATGTATTTAAAAAATACCTTAGGGGAAAAAGGTCACTAGTTTAGATGAAAGCCAGGTAACTCTCTCCTTGAGACTAAATATACTCAAATTAAATAGCACAATCTAACTAAATCCCTAATAAGGAATAATATTCTAAAATCTAAAATGTTAAATGAAATGTTTTCATTTCTAAGGACTCTGATATTTCACATTATATTCATTTATTTTAGTATTTGGTAATTGCTTAACATTTTTAGTAGTATTTGGCCACGTTTTTTATATTAAAAATTCAGAAAGTAGTTTGAACACATGCAAAATTGGTATGATATTCTGAATTAAATTCAGAATTCAGCCTTATTTGACAATCTACCTTCATCCCTTAAACCAATATGAAAATGTTTACTGAGACCTACAGGGACATTGCTACAACAAGCACCACAGAAGAGGGTGTATTTCTTTCATGTAAAAGAAATTGAAATGCAAGTCTAGATTCTTTCCCCAAGTCCTAATCCTCACCACAAAGCATCCAAAAGTGAAAACAGACAAATTATAGGATGAAGTATTCTATATCCTACTTATTGGATACAACATGAGTGACACTAAGATTCATTTAAGAAGTCAGAGTTAAGCAACTGCAATGCTTTAATGCAAATTTCAAAGCATTAAAATTACATTTCTAAAAATATAGTATGAGTGTGATTATCTTCCAGAAATCCTCTGTAGATAGTGTGGATTGATAAAGGCAAAAGAAGATTGTGTGATATGATAGAAACAAGATAGATTAAAAATTCTCTGGAGGGGCAAAAGTGAGTTAAACTTTCCTTAAACGCTTAAGAGAGATTTTATAAAGAAGTCAACTCCTTTCTAAAAGAATATCTCTATTCATTGCTTTGGCTATATCTGTATGAATGTTTTGGAAGTTCTCATCACAGTGTTTCTGATTATTTTCTGATTTGTAATACCATTACAGGGAATAAAATTATTTGTTTATAATCAGTGTTATTTAACACATTAAGTACTTACTAGAACCGAATATGTGTAATTACAAACTTCTCAAATTCAAAGTGTGTTAATCTAAAGATGCATTACATATGTATATTTTAAAGCAGACACTATGGACTAAGCAACATTAGTAATTTCACAATCTTCACAACACCAAGATATCAATGGTTTAGGGGACTACTTAACAGTGCAAGAAGCATGCCTTTTAAAAATGAATAATTTCCATTTTTGTTTTTTAATTCCGCACTCATTTGCATTCAGAATCAACCACCAAATTTATATGGGGCAGCCATAAAAAGTGAAGTTCTTTTCTTGGATTTCACCAAAATTCGTTTTTAAGCACTTAAGAGAAAATATTTTTATTACTTTAAACATACAAAATTTTTGAAATCATACAATTAAAACTCCCCTTGTTCTATTTAGATATCAACATAGGAGAACATCCTAATGTTTACTTGAAGTTCACATGGAAGCTGACAAAGATGGCGGCTCAAGGGAGTATACAGGGAGAGACAGCAGGGCTGACAGATGAGCAGGGGAGGTCAGAGCAACCCAAGGAATCCATTCCATTTATCAAAATCTACAAATAAACATACTGATGTGTTGTAATCAAGGATCCAAATTACTTTCTGAATACATCTGAGAAGACCAAACTCTTCCAGTTTCAAAATTAACCTAAAAATCAGGTAAAGGTGACTATATAATGAAATTATCCTGTTGATTTTCTTTATATAGTACACTGCAATCATTTGAGAAGACACACATTTGATATATCAAATACCTCATGATTATTTCTAGATACTTTGAAAGTAGCTTAAAATTTGAAAACTCGTATCCTAGAACCATTAGAGAATATATTCATTTATTGGATCTGGTCTTAAAATTTCTTATTGAATATTCAATCCATTGTCATCCAAAATAGCAACAAAGTTCTTACAACAAAAATCACAAACAAATGGCTAATATGTGAAATCCGACCTGTCTCTGTTCTTCAGGATAAATTAGACAGTACTTTTTTCTTCCTTTAACCTAAACTGGTTTGTGGCTTTCTGATAACTCACTGTAATAATACCTCATCATGGCCAGTGGTATTTTCAGAATTTTCACTGTCTTTGTTCTGATTTTCTCCTTTCCATCCTTTTCAGAAGGAGATGAACTTTCCTTTTTTTCAGGAAGATTAGGGTTTGTTTTTTCAGGTTGAGAATTCAAATTCTCAGCATTACTGTCCTTTTCTGTGTTTCTTGGTTTGGCAGCTTCATGGCTGGGCTCTGGGCTGGGCCTGTCTGTCTCTTCCCCAGGCTCTTTTGGTACCACTTTTTTTTCTTCAACTGTTTTGCTACTTAAATGAACGGCAGAGGAAGAATTTTTGGAGTCCTTGGATTTCTTGTGCATAGAACTTTGGCTGTTTTGACTGGATGTAGGAGGGGCAGGCATTTTCTGGGCTTTGCCTCCCTCCAATTGTTCTTTTCTAGGTGGCCCCCAGATAAAATTCTCTGAAGGAGTGTAATGTTTCTGGGCAAAGCGGAGGAGCTTTCGCCTTTCTCTTCTGTCTCTAATTGTATAAACAAAATACTCCAGAGCACTCTGCTTAATATTGGGAATAGTATTTTCCACAAGAGCCTCATGAAGAATAAATTTTACAAGAGGAGCTTTAAAACTTTCATATCCAAGCTCACCAAGGCTTTTAAGAATACGGGTGATTCTTAAATAGTTGTGCTGGGACCTGGAAGAGAGGATTGGACAAAATGAAGAGGGAAAAAAATCAGGTGGAAGAAGGCAAAATGTTGGCAAAGAATTCTTTTCTATGGAAGTACAAGAAATATGCCTTATGACTTTGTTAAACTCATATCAGGCACTGTGAAGAATGAATCAGAATGTATTAAACCCTTATACCTCAATGTAATCTCTGTGAAACTCAAATGTTTACAATAAACTCTCCTTTTCCAGTTCTCCATATTAGAAAAAATATTTAGGTTTAAATTCATCCCCACTGATGCTGAGTTGTTTATTACATTCATCAATGACTGAGAGTCGACTAGTTAGTGACTTACATAACAGAACACTTAACAGTAGCTACTACCCACAGCCATTCATGGCATTCATGACATCTTCTCCAATCATCACAAGTGGGGGGTGAGGGTAAAAACTGTACTCTTGCAATTGTTCTATTTTATTAGTTACTGTTGATAATCTCTTACTGTACTTAATTTATACATTAAACTATCAAAGGTAGATATGTACACTTTCCCCAGGTTATACGAATGCCTGTCCTATTTTAAAATTAAGGCCATTACTGGATTAACTCTTTCCCAGTCTATTTTGTCCTAACTCATAATCTACCTCCCCCCACTTCACTCAGCTCAACCCTTCGCTTCTCACACATGCCTGGCCAAATCCTAAAGTAGTCCTCAGATACATATATCAATTGTGTGTATATCATAACTCAGGCATTTATTTATCTAATATTGCCACATAATCACAATTGGCAACCACTAAGGTGTAGGAATAAGTATCAAATTATTTGGGAAGAGTGAAGAAGAGTATTGATAATTATTTGGCTATGGAAGGGAATGGTTCCATGGTTTTATATTTTAGTGAGAGAGTTTAGACAAAACAAAACATCTTAATGCTTCTGATTAATCAAATACTGGGAAAGCCAAGCCCAACAATTTTTATTATCTCCATCCTCTGCATGTTTACCAAAAAAGTATTATCTTAAAATTCAACTCTTTGAATCTCAAAGTGTAAAACATAGCACAGATCTGTTCCAGTTTTATGAATCTGTATTATTCAATAGTGGTTTGAGACAACACAACTTGGGTGAAGTTAAGACTATATACCATTAATGGCAAGACTGACTTGTTACGTTCATTTGGAATTCCTGTTTCAAAACAGTGACAAAATTCTTAAGTGACATCTACTTCATAAGCATGAGAAAGAGATGCGTGGAAACATATAAGGTTAAAAAAAAAAGAAGGCCTATATGATGAAACAAATACTATATTAGCAACCAGCTCAATTTCCAATAACCAATCTAAAATGAATGGTCAAGTTAAAGAGAGGAGCTGGGTTTCTGGATAGACATAAAAGCAGTAAATATCTTTGATATTGTCCAGGGCTAGATGGGTGAAGAGAGAACACAGTAGACAGAAAACAAAAGTTAGAAGGGATTCCAGTTCCTAAAATATGACTCAGTAATCAAGGCTGACTACAAATAAAATTGGAGTTACACCTTAGTGCTTGGTCTATGTATTTTTACTTTCATGTCTGAAAATATTTCACTAAAATGCCAATTTTATTTAAAATTTTAATTTTATTTAAATTTTATTTATGATTAAATTTGTTTGAATTGCTAAATGAGCATGTTCACTTGTTCATCCAATGTTATTTCATTTCTCTTTGATTCAATATTTTTCCTCACTTAGCTACTATAAATATATTGAATTCCTTGTGTCCCCTAAAAAACTCAAGATGCCGTACAGATTAAAACACGCATAAGATATGATAGTTAAGAATAAGTCAGAAAAGAACCCAACTGAAGAAGAAAACAGACATGTTCATACCATCCCACGTAATTTCTTCAAATCTAGTCAACAAATTTGTTGACAACTAAATCAGAAGAAGAAAGATGTTTTCTGGGGAGATTCTCAGACACTTAATCCAGAGTTGGCAAAGGGAAAGACACTGGATGGAGGCAGGGAAAGTGGCGGGGGGAGCAGAGGAGTGAGAAGGCTGTGAGTTCAGGCTCCCTTCCCTGACTAGAGCCAGGATATTATTTAGTTAGAGCCTTCAGAAAGGGTTCCACTTCTAGCTATAAATCAGAGGATCTGATAATTAAATCCCAAGGAAGAGTTAAGCTGAAAATTTTGTCCGTATCAATAGGTCACTTGCCTACAGCTTTCTTTGACAGTGTGATGTAGTGCTTAGAAACTGTGCCCATCGCGTCTCGGCCTTTTGGCTAAGATCAAGTGAAACTGTGCCCAGAGTTGGTAACTTTCATTGCTAGGTAGTTGTACATACACTTACACTTTAAGTGACCTACATAACAAATTCACCTTGAGTTATAAATTAACAGGTCTTGCAGTCAGGATTGTAAAGTTTTATGCCCATTTCTTCCAGTGTTTCAGCAAGCTACCATTTTTAGTAACGTTTAGTAAAAAGAAAGTTCAATATTAATATTTATACCTATTTTACCAAAGCAAGGTGGAAGTTCTAGAAAGATACAAGAAATTTAAATAGCTGATGCCAAAATTCTGATTGTTTTGGCCAGGGAGAAATTTCTTATATAAGTTTTAATTTTTTTCTCTTAGTACTTGCCCAGTTCAGCTAATTATAATATGCTAAAAAAAGTGCTTTTAAACTGCCAGTTTTATTGTCCAGCACTTGTAAGTAACCCTATAATTAAAAAGGAAAAAAAAAAAAGCCAGTTCGCATATGAAGAAAATATTTTAAAAACTAAACTCTGGTTATAAGTATAAAGGAATGTTATAAAATTTTAAGCCAAAAATAGCTAAACAAATCCAAGTAAGCTATGTTAAGTTTTTTTTTATAGGTTGGGATTTATTAACCAAAAAACAGATTTTGATTTTTTTACCTAAATAATGAAGACAACTGCAATTTTTCTATTTTAGTAAAAAATACAGGAACATCTCATTTTTATTAAATGATTTTTATACATCAGGGACTTACTTTATGTGTTTAATAAAAAAAGAAATCATGTTTCAAAATGTTAGAAACAGCTTGTATCCCAAGAGGCTTACAGCCTGGTAGAGGGGATATGAAAAACTGTATACACACAATAACCATAAATTCTAAGGAACGTGGCACAGAGCGGGACAGAGGCCACACTGGGCTGCTACTGGGAGGTTTCGGGAAGAAACCATTTTGAAGCTGAACAGCAGAGTTTCTACCTAGAATTTTGCTCTTTTAGTTGTTGCTTTGTTTGTTTTAGAATATAGAACAAAATGCATTTAGATTTGCTTTTGAACCCAAATTCCTAGGCCCAGCTACCAGCTCTTCCTATTTTCCATAGAGAATTCAAACCATAAGAAAATGCCATTGATTTATCACAGGGCTTTACTCACTCATTCAGATGCTGAAATCTTTCCTGCCAGTTAATGGCCCGAGCAACATTTCCAGTTTTATCAATCAATTTTATCCCAAAAAATTCTAGCATCATTTTATAAGCCAGAAGGAATCTTCTAATTGCTTCTTTTGTTTTTTTGAATTCCTAGTATTAAAAACAAAAACAGAAAAAGTCAGCTGAAATGATCTATAAGAACAATAAAATAACCATATTATTTGGCTACTTCATATAAAATGAAATGAGCTTGCATTACCTCAATTTCATATGTAGTTAGTTCTTTAGCATAAAAGTTCAAGCCTTGTTCTCTGAGGGGAAAAAGCCTATTTAAAAAAAAATTAAGTTTTTCTATTAGCATTGTCTGGAAAACATATGATAAATAGGGCATGGTTCAAGATAGAAAAGATGTAACTAACCACTGAATGTAAGTGTGGTTGTGCTCCAGTTTTTCATAGTCTCCTTTCCATTTGTTTAAAACTTCTTCAATGTAAACACCTAGATAGTAAATATTGAGAAAATGAACCAGACATTTAAAACATTGTAAAGGCATTGTAAGATTTTAATCACCTGAGGTTTATATCAAAATTTCAAAATTTTTTAAAAAGCACACAAGAATAATGCTTGTAAAAGATGAATAACATATGGCATATACTGTTATGTAATAAGCTTATTAAAAAAATAAGTGGCACCTCAAATTACAGAACGTTCTATTGGGCAATGCACTCTACAGCAAACTGTACTGTTTTGTACATAAAGTTTTATTAGAACACACCTACACACATTCATTTATGTATTGTCTGTGGCTGCTTTTTATTACAATAGTAGGGTAGAGTAGTTGCAACAAAAACTAACTATTCTGCAAAGCCTAAACTATTTACTATCTGCCCATAAACTATTTTACTTACTGTCCATTCCAGTGTTATTTATCCCCATTTTATGAATGAGGAAATTGTACAATTTGTTCAAAGTCACACACTAGTAAAAAAAGTAAATCTAGGGGTAGAACATAGGTCATTCTGGTTCTAGGAAGTAAATCCTTTTCACCATGTCTCAGTGTTCCCCTTTAACTTATTATAACAAAATCCTTTTACTTGACCAGGTGGCCATTTAATCAATCATACAGAAAAAACACAACACTCCTCTAAACACAACTCATGTCCTTCTTATTTCTTTTGAGATCGTCAGTGTGTAGAGAAGGTCTGCCTCAGAGAATTTGGTAAAAAGGTGTTTTGAATTATACTGTTGGCTTTATTAACATGCTAAACCATTTGCTTTTGTAATTTTTTGTTTTCCATCCAACTACCTCTACTCCTACTTAGTAAGTAAAAAAAGCCATCGTAAATTATGCTTACTGGCAAGTAAGTGTGTGTGTGTGGGGGTGGGGTGGGGGGGGTGGGTGGGTGTGTGTGTGTTTGTACACACTGGAAAGTGTGTGAGCTGATGTCATTTATATAATATACTAAAGTAACATTTTATGGTGATCTTAGCTGACTTCCACCAATCTTGTAAGAGTTTAAAATAAATTTTGTGATGAAGATTAAAAAAATTTAATGTACTGCTTGAACTTAGTGCTTTTAATTATTACCTCAAAAATAAATTTGCTACTGTATTATTCATTTGTGTTATTTTATTCTCTGGTTTTTGTAATAAGTCTCTGATACTTTGTGATCAAGTATGTAAGTATTTTGGTTATGCATTGCAAATGAAATAATGTGTTTTCTTTTTACTGTGGTGCTTTATTTTTTCGTTGTACATAAATCATGTATTGCAATATAGTCATGTTCTCTTTAACAAAAAACAAAAATAGTTAAAGACTGCTACAGGTTTATGTTCAATGTTTTTAATACTCAAAGGCATTCCTTTAGCTAAATTTTATGAAATTCAAATCAGTGAAATTAACACTCTATTATTGCCTATTTCTTGCTCCAAATACTAAACAAAAACAAAAAAAAACCTAGCAACTTAATTTACATATTTCCATTGGCTTAAAAAAAGCATATTTGTCACTGGTAAATATAAAAGTACATTTTTGTCCAGGTTTCTCCTTCAAATGAGCAGAGTTTTGGGACACCAGAAAGTTCAAGACAAGCAGAATTGGTCATCTTAGCAATGTTCTCAAGTCTTCACTTCCAAATGGCACATTTTTCAGTGAGCAATACTGGCACTCCTTCCTCCCTTTTATACAGCCTTTATGTCTCCTTCCAGTTTGTTCAACAAATGCAAGATCTCGCCATTCTGAATGTCTTGCAACGCATGACTCTCATTCCCTGACTCACAGGGAATGCTGTGATTTGCCTCAGTTTTCACTGAGAAAAAAATCAAATCAGAAATATCTGGCCACCTCATCCAGAAAAGGGCTCTAAGGAAAACAGTGGCTTTAGCTTCACTGGTTTGACCTAGATAAAGTTAAGACTGGGGCCTCAGCGAAATGTGCAATTTTGTGGTCAAATTATCATAGCAGCCATATCCTCTCCCTGTGGGTTTGGAAAAGATCCTACAAGGGCAACTGTAGAACTGTAAAGGAGGCACGTTTATATGGCAGAGTTGGATGGAGATTTACTGCATCTTCAGCCCTCTTCCCAGAATACTAGAATATTAAATTGGCATGGTGTAGCTTCCTAATCCTTGATTCTTAAAACTGACAGGAAAGACATTCCATTCACATTCTAAATAATTTTTAGGTCTGGCATACTGGAAAAAATAGAGGACCCTGGAACCTAGATCCAACTTTACAATGAACTGAGTAACCCCAGCAAGTCAGTCATTTAGGCTTTTAAGTCCCGGGGATCTCCTCTTTAAGATGAGAGGGCTGAACTCAATCTCCTTTGAAATCCTTAATAGCCTAAGATTCATTCTATCATTCTATAAATCTCTTTTAGGCTTACAAAAAGTTAACCCTACTACCTTTCAGATAATAGCCATGGTATACAGGTATTGGGAAGGTATCACTAACCGATAACTATTTTTACAGGATTTACCAAGTAGTGTCCATACTCTAGGGTGTAGGACTGGGCAAATTAAAGCCAATCAATGAACAAATGCAGGAAGAATGTACTAATCATGACTAAACAAGGAACACCCAAGTGTATGTTATCATTTAAAGTTTGCTTTTTATCAAGGTATCAGATTACTCACCATCTGGCTTAAATGGAATTTTATTCTTATAGAAACGAAGATTGCTCAAGTCATTTTGATATCGGATATCTTTGAAGTTCTGCTAAAGGAAAAAAATGAATCAACCTCTAATATATGAAAATAAAGAAAGGGCACAAGGACCCTTCTTTCATGTTTTCTTATTGGCACCATAAAATTAGAAAAACAGCAGGGAAATATTTTACATTTAAAAAAAAATCTATACTCTTACTGGGTACTGGTGTCGGTATTTATACAAATCCCTTGCAGCATAAAAACTTCTCTTTGGTTTGGCAGTTGCTTCCGTGGAATCACTACCCTAAAATAAAAAGTGAAACTCCTTTTACATGGAACATTTCACTGAGAACTTTCCAGAAAAAAACTAAAAATTGTGAATACCCATAAAGAAACCTGAAAATTGCAACCTGACAAGATTAGTGAAAATATTACATTTTTAAAATTATGCTTTCTAGCAACATTTACCTTATTTACATCAAATACTTTTGTCCTAAAGTATATTAGTAAATAATAAACTTTACTGTTCATCAAACACCTACAGAGGACAAATATTATGGATCAATATCCATCAGAAATAGAACTCAAAATGAATTCAAAACATGTGTTTTACCAGTTGTTACACAAGTGATCATACACAGGCTTGTTTTGAAATACTTCCTATAATGCTAAAAGTATTATGCTAAATCAATTCTACAAAGAAAACTGTCATTAACTTTGCACCATTTAGCTATACTTGGATGTCAAGCAATATTTATGAAAGCAAAGAAGGATTTCGAAACAAATTAAATAGGTTTTCTAAACTCCATCCTTTATAGCACTATAACAAGTACACAAAGGCATGAAGAATCATTGTTCATTCAATGTTGATACTATGATATATATCAGCAAATTTAAACATATACACATAAAGCAGTAAAAAGCTCTCAGATGGAATGAACAGCAAGTTGAAGTAATTTATGTGGTACTTGAGCCATTTACATTCTAAGTAAAATTCCCCTCACCATGATGTCATTTTTAACATATAAGATGCAGGTCAACACAATTAATTTGCATTCTCTAACTATATATGCTATGATAATGCACTAAAAAGTGCTTTGTATCCAGTACCAAGCAGAAGGACAATGAGAGTGATGAACATGAGGGAGACTACACTGTGTAGATGTTAATATTCATGAAGAGCTTTGCTCCAAATCTTTATCTTCTCACCCCCACCATTCGTGTTGACAGACTGGCATCTCTAAGCAGTTTTCACACATTTGTGAAGCGGTGTGATTCTCACTCTTACTACAAGTACAGAGAAGCTTACTTTAGCACCAAATCCTCTGATGTTTAACATTAGTTACTCTGTCATGTTGCGTGAGCAAGGAAATCTTCAATTCTGGTCCTTGCCACATGTTTCAAAATAGCTCTGCTTAGCAAGTTTCTGAATCTATTTAGTGTAAGCTATACTATATGAATCATCATCCTACATTTGTGTTGAAAGCACTTTTTCATTTATGAAACACGTGTATTATTTCACGATTCTTACAACACACCTGACAATTACAGTGTTTCCATCTTAAAAACAAAGTAACTGCAGCTTACAGAAATTGAACAAGCCCCAGAGCCCAGTGACAGTGTAAGAACTAGTCAGTTACAGGTATAACTAATCAGGTCTCAATCAATTTCAGTCCCACCAAAAGTGAAAGATAAATGGAAACCTTGGTATAAAATCAATAGCCCAAGATTTGGAGTCAAGAGACTAAGGTGAGTCTTAATTCTGCTACTTACTATTTGTGAGGCCTTACGCAAATCACGTAGCTGAATCTTAGTTTTATCACCTGTGAAATGGAGCTAATGACTCATGTCCTACCTGGTCCAAGGATTACCATGAGAATGACTGTATGGGTTTCATCCTCTAAGTGTAATTACCTGCCAGCATCTGTCACTGCTCCTCCAACCCCTATTCTTTTTTGAACTTACTATCCTGACCTCTTTCGCCTGCTCAGGCAAGGATTTTTGCTCTTTATCATACCATTCTTCTTCACTAGGTCATCAAAATTCCTCTCTGCTGAACCATTACCCCAGCTGACACCAGGGGGTACATCTATAACTAAAATAAACATACATCTTCCTTGACCCAAGTGCACTCCAACTAAAGATCCAACCTCTGCTCTCCGTTGTAGTAAATCACCACCAAAGAATTTCTCATCCTCCCTTTCTTCTCCTCTTCTGCCCTCGTCCATGACACACCACAGCAGTTCAGCCCTCCATGATAATGGTTCCTAGGAACTTGACCAACAAATCTCCATCTTGCCAAACCTTTTCACATGTTCATCTCAAGTGACTTCTCAGCACTAGGGTGAGTTAAGGCTTTCCTCCTTCCTGAAACATTGCTAGTATTTGGCTTTCAGAATTTCATACTCTCCTGATTTACTTTGTGTCTCACTGGTTCTCTTTGTCAGCCTCCACTTCTGGCTCAACCCATCTGATCTCTTATCTTCCCAGAACTTTAAATGCCACCAATCTTAAATGCTAACTCCAGTCCTGCACTGAGCCTCTATTTATACATACCATTAACTATCCAACATCTCCATTTGGATTTCCAACAGGATATAAAACTTAAAAAGCCTTGATTTAAAGCTGCTATTTCTCTAGACTTCCTCATCTCAGTAAATTGTTGTCTGATATTCACTGGGACCAGGACGACAGCAGTGCAAGTGGTTAGAGCTTCCCCTGCAAAATATTTTAAAGGTAGCTCCAACAGTGCTCGCAAATAGATCGACTGTTAAGAACAGGGAACAGATGAGGTTGACAGTAAAAACATAAAATCAAAAAATAGATTGGGGGGGGAAGCAGATTTGTTTAGACGTTAGATGGTAATGCCAACAAGCATTAAAGGAAATGGAGCAGAGTGGATTACTGTTTATCGAGGTTGCAATTCACTGTTTGAAATGGTATTTATATTGTTTTATAAGAATGACCTGGCTATAGTTGATGTTTTTTAATATCATAAACTTTTGTTGAAGTTTACTTAGATGGGAGATGACTAAAAGGGAAAAACACTGAATACAGCATCTGATACTTTTCTTAGGTGAAATTAGCAGTGTGAATGAGGAAGCTGCAAATCTGAGAACAAACCGGAGGCAGAAGGTATTCAGGATTTCAACAAGTCCAAGGTTCTGACTTTGGTAACAAGCATAATCGGGTTTGCGTAATTTTTTCCCTTTAAGATCTGGACAAGTTTCTTTCTCTATAAGCCTCAGCTTTCTCTAACACCGGAATTAAAAACAGCAAACCCCTACCTCCAAGTTGCAGTTCATTTTAAAAGCATGCTTAGCTAGAACCTGCACTAAGATTTTATAATTTCCCCTTTCCTGAACAGAGATCATCTCAGGGTGGACAAAGTATCTCTGGAATATGTGGGTGATTGTTCCCCCGTGGTCACACTGACTTTGGACTCCGTTTTTCCACTCTCACTCCCCCATAGCTGATAAAGAGGAGGCCTAATGCAGAACCACAAACCTTCAATGTGATACACACTTCTTCAGTTCCTCCTTTGTAAAGTTTCTGATTTCCAGTCCCTCCGAGGTTAAGGGGCCATTTATCTTTTCACTAACCTCACTGCCAAACTGTACTAGTCAAATGATTTAAGCACCGTTGGATCAACAAGTCTTCTGGGTGAAATACGATGTTTGAAGAACGTCCTGAACTCTATGAAAGGCCTCAGTCACTTGGGGAAAGAACCATGGCATTTTAACTTTGGATGGGGACCTTCTATGATACTTAATGGCTGTAGACCCGCTGTAGAGGCGACTGCTGGCTGCTTGGCAATTGCAGTCCCATCTTATTCGGAATAATTTTTGCCAACAGCACGCACTGGACGAGTTTTCACATTCCTCTATTTTTAGACAGCTTCCTCCCACCCCTCCATCGCATCAGCCAGCTGCGCTGCAGAGGCAAAGAAAACACCTAGGCGAGTTGGGGTTGCCTGGAGGGACTTTCCGGCGTGCGCTCGGCCAGGCCCCGGGCCGGAGCGGGCGGCCCGGTGTCCCCCGCCACCCAGGCTCCCGGGTCCACGCGGAGGGGCTGGGGACAGGCTGCCGCCCTGCAAGCTGTACACTGCCCTCCCGACGCCAGGGACCCGGGCGCCCCAGCCCGGCCCGAGGCCACCCCGGGCCGCGTACCTGCTCGGCGCCCGCGGGCTCGGCGTCCTCGTCGGGCGCGGGGCTGGCGCGGGGCCGCCCGCCGGCTCGCTCCGGAGGCTGCGCGGGCTGCTCGGGCTCCTGCCCCGGGCCCTGGCCGCCGCCACCCGGCCCCGGCTCGTCGGGCTCGGGCTCCGAGTCCGTCTGCCAGGTGGAGTCGCAGTCCTCCACGGTGGTGGGCTCGCGGAAGCTGACCCGCCCAGCAGGTTGCCCATTGAAGAGGCGGCGGCGGGCGCGGGGCTGCGGGCGCGGGGCTGCGGCGCGGGCGCGGGCTGCGGCAGGCGCTAGGGCCCGGGCATGGCCGCGGCCGGCAGCCTCGCGCGCCCGCACTGCCTCAGCGCGCCGAGCTCAGCCGGGCCCCCGCGCGGGGAGGAGCCCGCCGCCCCGGGGCCGCTCACGCTCGGGCCCGCCCATCCCGCGCCTCTCCTCCCCGTGCGGGACCGGCGCCCGCCCGCAGGGACGCGCCTCGCCTCCACGCCACTTCCACCCGGGAGCGAGCCCCGCCTGGGCTGGGCCTTCGGTGGCGCCGGGAGTGGCTCGGTGTCCCGGGGGCCGGGAATCACCAGCCAAGCGGGAAGAGTGGTCCAGGACTGGCGTGGACGCGGTGTCCAAGGAGTTGTCACCGTCGGCAGACGGGTACTGTCCACACCCCCGCCCCCTCTTCCGGCTGGTCCAAGAGGAAGATAAATGAGCTGCAGCAGCAGAAGACAAAAGCTGATGGTGACAGGGCACCGTATAAACAGGAAATCCAAGCCATTAGGGCAGCCACTGAGAGTCCCGGTGGTCTAGGTAAAAGGCAAAGCTATCAGTCACCTCATCTAAAGAGCAAACGTCTCTGAAAATCGAAGGGTCTAGTTCATTGATCTGCGTTTAGCTTTAACAAGGACCCACTGCATGGTTTTAGTAGCACCCACTCCAAATCTATGCTCTCCATAGAAAAATCTTAGAAGCCTTAGGACAGATAGGGCTGGTTCTAAGGGCAGACTCCTTGGCCCCTTGGTCTACTGTGTAAGTGACAGGAGGAGGAGAACCAGGTTGTAGTACTTGAAAATAAAATAACAGGACCAATAAGTGAGGCAGAGAAAAGTGATGATGGTATTTGTACGCTGACTTTCTAACTGAAGAGAAAGTCTCCTGAGGGCAGCTGTCATCTGCCTCACCACTGCAGTCAGTGCTAGGGACCATGCAGCAAATTTGGCAGGTCCTCAGTAAACCTTTATTGCATATGGACTGAGAAAATGGCTTAGAGATATAAGATTAAATAGCTATACTTGACAAGTGCTTCCTGATGAAACAGGAGTTCAACTGAGGCAAATAGGAGAAGGGGACCAGGAACTAGAGAAAAGATTAGACCAAGAAGAATTAACCTAGAAAGTAACACACATGTACAGGAAAGCAATGGGAGTCAACTCCCTGTATAGCTATCCTTATCTCAAGTAGCAAAAACCCTTGGTCATATAAATAAATAAATAAATATTTATTTATTTATTTATTTATCTTTAATTGAAAAAAAAAAGTTTAAGTCAACATAGAAGGGCTGTTTCTAAGGGAAGAGTCAGATGAACATCCCCCAGGCAAATCAAGATGTGACTGTCACTAATCTTTCTGACCTTGAACAGGTCACCATAGAGCTACTTGAAAACTCAATTTCGTCATCTGTAAAATGGGACCAGATTTTCTCTCTAGAGTAGCTTTCCGCTTTGACCTTTATGATCTAATGACTGGTAAACACTTTAATAATAGACACACAACACACAAAAAAGACTTTTTTTTTAATCATGATATGAAAGCTGACCCAGACAAAATTATAGCATAAAGTAATGAACAGGGAGGATTCATGCCTGCCTGTCTGAAATAAGTACTTTCTCACTGTCTTTCTACAGGCTACAAGGCCTTCCTTCTGCTTTGTACCCCTCTCCTCCTATCCACACATTTCTGTAACAAGGTATATCTTTAACGTGAGGACTGCAACAATCTCACAGAATGCTTTTCCAGCAATAGTATCTCCACCAATGAGCTCACCCCAACTCCTTCCTCCCATCTTCAAGACCAATGAATTCTGTATGTAAGCAACTTATGTAAATTTCTCCCTCTTTTGCCTTTAAAACCTTCCCCTTGCCTCAACCTTCCTAAATATACCCATAGTTTACTCCTGTATGCCATTGTAGTGCACTGCTGTTCCCAAATAAATATCATTATTCTTTGGAGAATCTCTCTCTGATTGTTATTTAAATGGACAATGCCTTGATGAAGAAAATATTGGGCAGCTGCAAAACACATGAATCCAGTGCTAAAAGTTGGGGATTTGGTTTTCCATTGGCAGAGAACCAGAACACACTGTAAAAGTAGATGTTGTCCACCCAGCCTTAAAAATTCGAAGACTTGTAATGTAAAAAGTGTAGAGACAGCTGCTGTGCCCCAGCTGCTCTGTCAGTTGGTCCAGGTGTGTGTAGATTATAATTGGCCTTGTATTCTTTTCTCTCCTGTTAAGTAGAGGTTTATCCCCCACTCTTGAATTGGGGGTAGCCTCAGCAACTTGCTTGAGAAACAGGACCTGGAAGAAGTAATACTCTGGGATTTTCAAAGTTAAGCCATAAGGAAGCCTGCATTTTCCAGCTGGTTGTCTTGGACTATTCCTCTGATGGCCCTGAGTTGACATGCAAGAAGTTCAGCTACCTAGAGATTGCCATGCTGGAAAGACCACTGGATACGGACTCTGGTTACCCGTCCCAGCTGAGCCCCACCTTCAACATCAGCTGCAGATTTTCCTGGTTTTTATTGAATCCTCCAGACCAGCCCATCTACCGGAGAGTATCTTTCAGTGTTACCGCCACTGAACCTACCTGGAGCAAAGAAACCACCCAGCAGAGCCATGCTCAATTTCCTATCCCCCCAAACAGTGATGTGTAATAAACTTGTTCTTGTTTTAGGTCACCTATTTTTTGCGATAGTTTCTTGTATGGCTATGGACGATGAAACAGTGAGAAGCATCTGTGTAAGCCTATATGTTTGTACATATAAATGTATAAGCAGCTGCTGTAATTACGCCCTTACCTTTTCCCATATCTTTTGGAAAAATTATCAGTTTTCCAGGGTTCTAGATCATGTGCCAATTTTGCAATATATTTTTAAAGAACATAATTTTACATGAACTATTACAACTTTATATAAAATAAAAAATTTAAAGTGAGTTTGGAGCAGTAAGCTTGCCTGCATTGTGTCCTATTTAGTTTTTAATAAAGCTAATTCTGGAGATCTCTTATCCTTAGGTTCTATCCACAGAAATAGAATAACTAAACATTTTCATTTTTTCTGCCTTTGAGAGCATATAAAACTCCTGCATTAACAGTAAAGAAGAATGACTTTGCTTCATACAAAAAATTAATCACTTTTGGGCATGGTGGTGTGCCCCTGAAGTTTCAGCTAGTCAGGATGCTGAGGTGGGAAGTTGCTTGAGCCTAGGAGTTGGAGGTCAGCCTGGGCAACATAACAATACCTTGTCTCAAAACAAAGGAGAGCAAAAGGAAATTTCATCATTTGGCCCAGTACCAGGCAAATATTAATTTATCAGTGTATGTTAGTTCCTGTCATTACCCAATTCTAGTAATTTTCTATTCATTATTTATCCACTTAATCATTATTTAACAATGATGAATTCAACAATTATGTAAGTCTATATGGGATGAGAAGGAACAACTATCACAGTGAGCAATAATAAAATAAATTGTCTGGTTCCCTGAATCCAGATTCTACCCTGAATGATGCAGATAGTATGGCTATTCTCCAACATAATTTTGCTTTCAACTTTGTTTTGAATGCTGTGAAGGCTGGGGCCATCTTGAGGAGGAACTGGGGCTTCATGTAACTTTCAATAACAAAGGGATTTCTGTCTTTTTAATTGTTGATATAAAATGACAAATATTTTGCTATCAAATATTGGTAACAATTGAATTCCCTCATTTGCACCTAAACTGCCACCAAGATTCTGATGAACCACTGGGGTATTTTAAATATTCCACATCTAATTTATGATGTGGAATATTTAAAAGAGACCCAATATGGTGGTTGTGTACTTCTGGGTTGTTTTTATATTGGCTTCTTTGGGTCCCTTCCACCCTCCACCTCACACACGCGTAATTTGTTTCACTAGCATTCACCATGGAAGCCACTCTGCAGAATCCCTGACCTAGAGAGTTAGAGCACATTAGGGAAGACATCAAGTTAGTAAATTCAAAAATAATAATTTCAAATTATAAGTTCAATGGAGGCAAAGCAAGATCACAGGGCTTTGACTTTACCCTGGGGAGTCAGGGAGGTTTTGGGGGAGAGGTGGCATGTACATGAAGAAATGGAAGATAGGAGAGAAGAATTTAACACAACAACGAGCAGTGAGAAGAGAATTTTTGTAGTAAGGGGAGAGTGTAAGGATAGATGGCTGACTAGCTGCAAGGTGCCGGTACCTTCTGTAACCTGCTCTAAGCTCCCAGAATACTGACCAATGCCCCAAAGTAATAACGTACTACTCATGGAATCAAGATTTCAAGCTGCATTTTATTTCAGAGATATTTACATGTGAAAACTGTATCCTAGAATCTACACCATGTGGTGGTTAGCTAAGAGGGAAACTTAAACATTTTTAAAGTATTAATTTACTCCTACGTAAATGGGTCCACAATTCAAAAGCCAAGTCTAGATTCAGAGTCGATATTGGGCATTTTCCCAACTTAAAACCCTTTGGACCAATTGCACTAAAGTCATCAGTAAAGCAAAAGTTAAAAGGCTCATAGAATTTCCTTGTTGAAGTGCTGCATAGGAGTGGTGGAAGTAAGTTGAAATGAACAAGAATTGGATAACAAATCATCACTTGCATAGCTACACAAAGAATTCAGCCTGTAGACTAAAAGTCAAGCCACATTTAAAGTTAAAAGTATTAACACTTCTTCAAAAACAATGTTTATAGTTCTCATTTGAACAATTCATTAGCATTTGAACCATATTTTGACTTTAAAAATATAATAAACACTTGGAGACAATAACATTTGATATCAGAAAAGTAAAAATATGCCTATCACCTCCACACTTATTGTTTATTTTTCATGGACAAAAATAGGCATATATTCCATGATCCCCCTTTTCAAATTATTACATTGAATTTTTTCTCTTATACAATTCGTGTTCTTGGTCCTTTAAATTTTCTGATCACTTAAAAGCCCTCCAGTAAATTGAATAAGAAATGGATATGTAAACACATTCTGTACTTGCCCCAGCTCAGAAGGATACTTGTTAGAAAATCTATGGCCAAGGAACCTGTGATTCTTGTGGGTT